AGGTAAATTTTGGATCTTTGTGGAGTTTGTTTAAATTGGTTTCTTATGTGAAAACAGAGATGCAAACATATTGTTCATCACTTATTGGAGACAAAAATGGGACGATGGCAAATTTTACAAAGGTGGCGCAKGTGTTCCTTCATCTTTATCTAGCTTTTACAAACTGTTTCATTCATCTTTTTCTAGCTTTCCATCTTGGTAGCATTTCTTMTTTTTCCATGTAGTGGATAGATCTTTATTTTCATCTGGTGTTTAATCACTCATAAATTTTTGAAAAAGGTTTAGGCTTKAATCGTATACATGATGGTTCRAGTATTGAGGTTTAAGTTTTGTTTTTTATACTTTGATTAAGATGCACGATCARTRATTTTAGTAATTGTTTTTGGAGTTTCAAATCGAATATGTTTGGATGATGCTTATTCTTTGAAGCTTAAATACAAGATCCATTTTTCTCATGAAGCTTAAATACGCTGTTGTGAAGCTTAAATACAAGATGCTTAAGGCAACTTTCTAGGCATCTTTATATACTTCAAATACTCATACACACTACTTATTCACTTCGTTTCCATCTTGCTATCCTCTTTCCAATGATCTTGGTCTTTATATGCTTGATTGTCAATTATGTCRCATTATGTATGCCTTTTCTRGAAATTGCATTATTATGTAGATATTCAATGAGATCACTCYGTTCATGGACAACTGATGTAAGGACATTCTTGAACATGGCATATTTAGCCTTCAGAGTTTGTACAAAATGATCAGATCCCTCATTTTCCTTTTGTAGATATCCCATGATTTAAGATACTTCCAGATTCAGGTATGTGTTTTGACTCGAAACCAGAAACAAAACAAACATGAGCATGGGTYTGTGTGTCTCCAAACATCAGCAAAGTCTTTGATTATCATTTACTGTTGTGGGACTGTTTGGGACTGTTGTCTGGTTATGAACTTACAAACCAGATAGCTAAGTCCATCTAAGTCAAATATTCATTTTCAACATTTACTGCTGTGGGAATGCTTCTTATTTAGATTTTATGCAACACCAACTTTTTAAATGATATTACATATTTGGACATGATATGCTTAGTTTTAGGGTATTGCTAATGTTGCTCTTTATGCCTCCTCTCTTATGTTGCTCTTTATGCCTCCTCTCTTGGGTCTTTTCTAGGCATTGTATTTTTAGCATAAATTGGTCTTTTGTTATAAAAACCGGCGAAATAGAATTAAAGTTGGAACTTTTTTTTGGGATGGGAGGGTTTGGGGGGGGGGGTTTCTGGTGTTAGTTTAAACTGTATTGTTGATTACTTTTGGGGGTGCTTTGTGTTTTCATGTAAATGTGACTTTTTGTTAGAAGGGGATACAAGTATAATGATATTCATGTTTCGTAGATCAGTTTATGTATTAGATTGGTTGGCAATTTCAGGTAAAAATTTTGGATCTTTGTGTAGTTTGTTTAAATTGGTTTCTTATGTGAAAACAAAGATGCAAACATATTGTTTATCACTTATTGGAGACAAAAATGAGACGATGGCAAATTTTACAAAGGTGGCGCAGGTGTTCGTTCATCTTTATCTAGCTTTTACAAACTGTTTCATTCATCTTTTTCTAGCTTTCCATCTTGGTAGCATTTATTCTTGTTCTACATGGTTGTTGTTTCCTACATTGATTTGAGTTTATSCTACAAACAAAAATAAAAACAGTCTTTTGTTGTTTTCCAWTTTTCTTTTGTCTACAAACAAATACCAAAACACCATATGTTGATTGCTTTTTTCCTGCATTGATTTGAGTTAATGGATCGTTGTCTCTTGATATCGGAGCTTATGAATCTCTTCTTGATTTTTATTAACTATATGAATCTCTACTTGTAATGTAATTCAGGAACCAACTGGATTGACTATTCTCTGCACCTTCAAGTATGGAAGTGCTGGAATGGGCCTAGAAGAACATCAATAATGTGTATGCAATAATTYTATTTGATCATGATATACAACTACAAAACTTTTGTGAGGAAACCTGTTATTTTACTCTTTTGAAACTACCAATAACTATAACATTACTACTATAATTGATAATCATATATACCCATTTTCTGTTAGGAAGTGATAGTGGTCGGGAATCATGACTGGTGCAAGKCATACCAGTAATTGAGAAGAGAGCTACTTGCCTACTAGATATCTAGACAAAAAATCAAACATCCAATRAACTAATTTTAGGACTTCATTCACRGGGYCAGTTAAAAGTTATGTGTGYTATATGATACAGAAAATCATTTATAATGACGTTGSYAGATGTGATATGAACGTATGTTTAGCAACAACATCTTATGTTATTTGCATTTGTCCAAATCTTGAATGCAACACATTTTTCCTTTTTTTCTCTTTTAGTACATGTTGGTTTCTTCTTCATAGCATATTACATGAATCTGTTTATGATTAACTGGAACTTAGTCTCATGCCTGGATAGAGTTAGTGTCACTGTTGAGTTGAAATCTACATACTTTCTTTTAGACTCCTATTGCATTATAAGAACATGCATTTCTGTCGTAGGTTGTTTTAGTTTCCGCTACCCTTCCAAACGAAATATTGGAGATTACCAGCAAATTCATGACTGATCCTGTTTGAATCCTTGTAAAAGGTGATGAATTGACTCTTGAGGTAAGACATATGCTGCTTAATTTGATAAGGACTACTCTGCCTACCAAGATGTTTTTTTTAATTTGCCTATTTTACCATGTCAGGGCATAAAACAATTCCTTGTTGTGGTAGATAGAGAAAATTGGAAGTTTGATACTCTCTATGATTCGTATGATATTCTTACATTTACATGGACTATATTTTTTTGTAATACAAAGCGAAAGGCAATACATAGTCTCTTTTTCTTTTATTTTAGTATATCATGGAAAATATTATGTTTAGTGGGATGATAGTTATCTGCCATTGTTGTTTGTTCTTTATAGTGTACAACCCTTTTGGTTATCGCTTACAAGTATTTACTTCAACTTTCTAAATTCAGGTTGATGCATTTTATGTGACAGTCTATGGGGGCTACCACACTTGATGAATACCTAAAGCATATYAAGAAGGATCTAGCATTGGATAGATGATTTCAACCCATTAAGGACTCTTAAGGTGTCTGAGCCCTCTGTTGATGAAACAATACTGATTTTGGAGGATCTTTGAGAGCGATATAAAATTCACCACAAGCTTCAGTATACTGATGATGCTTTAGTTGCTGCAGCAAAGCTGTCCCCGCAATATAGTCATTTTTGTCAAAATGACAACTAAATGGATCATGATTAATTTCATTAGGCCCTAATGGGTAATGATAGAACCATTTCTCAATCTCTGTTAGTGGGTCAAAATAACACTAAATGGATCTTAATTAATCTCATTAGACCTTGATGGGTTTAATAGGACCATTTCTCCATAAAAAGTCTAACTTGGTCAAAATGAGACTAAAAGAATCATATTTAGTTTGATCAGTCCTTAATGGATATAAAAGGCTAATGCTACTATTTGAGTTTAATTGAGTTATAATAGTACTAAATAGGTCATATTTAGTCTAATCTGACCTTAATGGAAGTAATTGAGGTACAATGGTTCTTAATGGGTCCATTTGATCTTAATGGATATAATGGGCCTATTACTCCTTAAAAATTCCAATTAGGTAATTATGACACTAACTAGGTCATAATTAGTCTCATTAGACCCTTATAGGTTTATGGGCCCATTTCTTCATACGGAGTCAGATTGGTTCAAATTGATGTTAAATGGGTCATAATTAGTCTAACTACACTTTAATGTGACTAATTGAGGTAGAATGGGTTTTAAGTGTCCTTAAAAGGTCCATTGGTCTTAGTCGGTATATTGGGCCTATTTATTGTGCTCGAGTCATGTGGGTCAAAATGGCAACTAAATGGATCATTTTTAATTTCATTAGACCCTAATGGGTTAAATAGTTTCGTTTCTCCTAAAGGAGTCTAATTGGGTCAAAATTATACTAAACAGGTCATATTAAGTTTGATCAGACCTTAATGGGTATAATGGGATAATACTACTATTTAAGTTTAATTGAATTATAATGGTACTAAATGGGTCATATTTAGTCTAATCTGACGTTAAAGGGAGTAATTGAGGTAGAATGGTCTTAATGGGTCCATTTGGTCTTAGTGGATAAATGGGCCTACTACTCCTTAAGAATTCCAGTTGGGTCAATATGACACTAACTAGGTCATTAATAGTTTCATTAGACCCTAATGGGTTTAATGGATCCATTTCTTCATAAGGAATCTAATTGGGCCAAAATGACACTAAATGGGTCCTAAATAGTCTAACTAGACGTTAATGTAACCAATTGAGGTAGAATTGGTCTTAGGTGTCCTTAATGAGTCCATTTGGTCTTGGTGCGTATATTCAGCCTAATTATTTTAATCGAGTCATTTAGGTCAAAATGACAACTAAATGGTTCATAATTAATCTCATTACACCCTAATGGGTACAACAGAACCATTTCTATATATGGAATCTAACTTTGGTCAAAATGAAACTAAAAGGGTCATATTTAGTTTGATCAGACCTTAATGGGTATAAAGGACTAATACTACTATTTGAGTTTAATTTAGTTATAATGGTATAAATGGGTCATATTTAGTCTAATCTGACGTTAATGGAAGTAATTGAGGTAGAATGGTTCTTAATGGGTCCATTTGGTCTTAATGAATATAATGGGTCTATTTCTCCTTAAGAATTCCAGTTGGGTCTATGACACTAACTAGGTCAATTAGTCTCAGTAGACCATTATGGGTTTATGGGCCCATTTTTTCATAAGGAGTCTAATTTGGTCAAATTGACGCTAAATGAGTCATAATTAGTCTAACTACACGTTAATGTGACTAATTGAGGTATAATGGGTCTTAAGTTGTCCTTAAATGATCTATTTGGTCTTAGTCGGTATATTGGGCCTATTTATTTTAATCGAGTCATTTGGGTCAAAATGACAACTAAATGGATCATCATTAATTTTATTCGACCTTAATGAGTTAAATAGTCCCATTTTTCCTTAAGAAATCTATTTGGGTCAAAATGATACTAAATAGTCATATTCAGTTTATTTAGACCTTAATGGGTATAATGGGCCCATTAAGGTCTAATAGTACTATTTGAGTTTAATTGAGTTATAATGGTATTACTGAAAGGGGAAAACTCCCCAGGCAATTTTATAATGCAGGTAAAAGCTTGTAAAGAGAGTACAGATCAACAAGAAGAGCTACGGCAACTTTGACGCACAAACCAAGCCATAAGAGGCCAAAATAAACAAAGGGAAATGCACCAAAAAAGAAAAGTAAAACAAGCCAAAGTATAGAAAGGGCAAATCCCCAAAAACTCCCAGAAACGAATTTCTTCACCAACCTCATGATCACGCATCTTTGATTCTCGTAAGCGTCTTCGTTGTCTTCCAAGCCATTCTTTGAAGAATCTAAGTCTTGATATCAGCCACTACTTGAGCTCCAGTATGGTTATGATTGTCAAAAGACTTTCTATTCCTTTCCATCCAAATGTGGTACACTGTAGCCGAGATACCCAGTTTTTGAACCGTAGGCCACAATTTCCATCCTTGCAATCGTCCTATATTAAGAATATCCTCCCAATTTTCCGAACACATCTGGATCCTTATTTCCCTCTTTATTCCCTCCCAAATACTACTCGAATAATTACACTCAAAGAATAAGTGATTGTGCGTTTCTATCACCAAGTTGCAAAACACGCATTTCAGATCAGGAGGTTCATGCTTCCACTGGCAAAGTCGATCTTGGGTCGGTAGTCCTTTCTGACATGCCATCCACATACAGAGAGCATGTTTAGGTATGTATGCTTTATTCCAAACCACCTTGTACCAATGCATAATAGGTCCCACTTCTTGCAAAGKTTGCCAAGCCACCTTTACCATAAAAAGCTKCCTATTATTATTAGGCTCAAGCCACCTAAYCGTATCCTCAAAAGGACTAGGGGAAGGAATCTGAATTTGCTGCAACTGGGGAAATCTTTGTATCCATTCATCCGGCCACTCATTACCAAATCGTTGCATTAGGTCATAAASYGTAGAGTTATTATGAAACTCCTGGCCATTTATGAACCTATAAGAAATCAAATGGATTAGGGGACCYTGWGCAYTCCAATTGTCTTCCCAAGCATGCGTAGACATCCCATTACCCACAATCGAGATAAAAAATCTCCTACAATGAGGTCTTAGCTCTAAAATATTCCGCATAAGCCAGGACCATTCATTTCTCTTCTTTATCACCCAGAAATTTCGCCCCCGAATACAGTTTGAATGAATCCAAGACACCCACATGGATTCTCTTTTAGTAAGAATATCCCAAATATGCTTAAACAACAAACACCTATTCCAAAGAGCCAGTCTTTTCATACCAAGTCCCCCATTTTTTACAGGCAAGCAAATCCTATCCCAAGAAATACGGCATTTGCCCAACACCCCTTCCGCTTTATTCCATACAAAATTACGGCAAATTTGTTCAATTTCATGGATTGTAGCCACCGGGATTAGAAAAATAGACATCCAATAAGTTTGCATAGACTGAAGGACAGATATGATGAGTTGTCTTTTACCTCCATAGGATAGAAATTTGGTTTTCCAATTCGTCAAACGGGCTTTAATATTAAGCACAAGAGGGTTGAAATCACGTACCTTCAATCTTACTGGAGATAGAGGAACACCCAAGTACCGAATAGGAAACACCCCCGGACGAAACGGAAGGCAATTTCGAATAGCATGTTGAACATCCAACGCACATTTCCAAAAAATACCTCACTTTTTTCGAGACTCGGAGACAAACCCGATCGAACTTCAAACATTTGAAGAGCTCGTTTTATCACTTCAACCGAAACATCATCCCCTCGAGAGAAAATAAAAAGATCATCTGCAAAACATAAATGAGTTAACTTGAGGTCTTCACAGCCTTGGTGGTAAGCAAAATTCACCTCCTCATCAATACACTTTTTCAGGATCATCGAAAGACCTTCCATTACTACCGTAAACAAATAAGAAGATATTGGATCTCCTTGTCGAAGCCCTCGTTTTCTATGAAAGAAACCCTCCGACTGACCATTAACACAAACAGAGAAAGTTGGCGTTGAGATTAGCGACTTTATCCAATTGATCATAACTGGATGAAAACCTATTCCTTTCAGCATCACAAGAAGATACTGCTAGTTAACAGTGTCATAAGCTTTTCGGATATCAATCTTGATTGCGCATTTTGGTTCCCTCTGATGTTTCTGGTACCCTGCCACAAGCTCATGTGCCATTAAGATGTTATCAGTAATCTGTCTTCCAGGAATGAAAGCCGATTGAGCCTTACTAATAAGGACATCTAAAGAGCCTTTCATCCTGTCAGCAATGATTTTACTAATACATTTAAGTAACACATTGCAACAAGATATAGGCCRAAAATCAGACACACAAGAAGCATTCRKAATTTTYGGAWTAAGACAAAGCAGAGTGTGGTTCAACTGATACTCTAAGGTGCCCGAGTAGAAGAAGTTGTGAACCGCAATAAGAATATCCCGACCCACCACACACCAAGCAAATTTAAAGAATTTCGAAGAAAACCCATCAAATCCCGGTGCCTTATCATTTCCAATATCAAATAAGGTAGACTTTATTTCCATATCAGTAATAGATCTGATCAAATGCAGAGATTCCGTTAAATTCAAAGAACGATCAAAATAATAATCCTCCATAGAAGGATTGACCAACCCATCACAATAACCCAAAATACCGGAAAAATGAGTAACAAAAGCTTTTGGTACTTCATCATGTTCAAAAACCATACCAGTAGAGTCTTTAATAGTAGCAATGTGATTCCTATTGCGCTTCTCTTTCATGGAGCGAAAAAAGAACTTTGTGTTTCCATCCCCCTCATTCAACCAATAAATCTTCGCCTTTTGTCTGAACATTTCCAACTGCTCATTCCTAGCTTGTTGATAAGCTAATAATAGGTGAGCAACATCCTCTTTTAGCAAAGCATTAAACGGATCTAAGTCACAAGCCAATTGAGCTACATCAAGTTCCGACTTTAAAACTGTTACCTTCTTATCCAAGCAGCCATACGAATTTCTCAGACTACGGCATACCCCTTTCATATCTTGCATTTTCAGAAGAACTTTTTTCATATATGAGCCTTTTTTCGGTTTCACCCAAACTCTCTCAACCGAACGGAGAAAAGCTTCATGAGAAGTCAAGAAATTATCAAACTTAAAACCACGATTTCTAATTCTTCTCCCAACTTTGATTGATAGAATACCCGGTGAATGGAAAGAAATACCTCTAGGTTCAAAGACAACCGAAGCATCCCCAAAATTGTCAATAAACGCCAAATTCCCCAAAATCCGATCTAATTTACGAAGAATACCTCCATCCCCTGACGGCTKCTGAATCCAAGTATATTGACACCCYTGATAAGAGATATCAAAAAGCTCGACATCTTCTAGACAAAGGTGAAATTCTTCCATATCCGAGTTACGCCTAGACGACCCTCCCAACCCATCATGAGGAAAAAGCATCGAATTGAAATCTCCCATTGCTATCCACGCTTTATTAGGGATAAAAATTTTGAATTTCCCAAGAGCCTTCCAAAGATCCCTCCTTTCCACCCCCGTATACACCCATAAATAAACGTAAAAAAGATAAGTTTCGGCTTACCAACTATACGGATTTCATAATGCACATATTGCAAATGTTGTTCAATCACAATCAAAGACAAAACAGATAGGTCCCAAGCTATAATAAGTCGTGTACCTTGATCACAAGAGAGACCATTGGAAATCCAACTCCAGCTTCCAAACACACGATCACACACATCCCCCAGGTTACTTTGAACGACTTTAGACTCAATAATGCAACATAAAGAAAGACGTTTGAAACGGATAAAGTCACGTACCTCTCTTTGCTTTATTAGGGCATTAAGACCCCTAATATTCCAAGAAGCAAACTTTATCATTGAGAAATTGAAGAGATAATACCACCCTCCCCCAAACGTTCTTCAGCCACCCCATCCCCAGAATCACATCTAGCCGTATCAATTATCTCTATATCATCATCTTCGCTAGATTGATCCGTATAATCTTCAGTAGACAAAGATGAGAAACGATTATTTGTAGACGTTTGGACCGCAACACCACGTCTCGCTTGAAAAGCTTGTACCACCGCCTTGACTAGATCCGGACCCCCCGTAGATCGAACCATTTCATTTTGACTCCCCTCTCTACCTCTTGGCGTTCTTCCAGCATCTACAGTGCAATACTTTCCCCCCATATGTTCATCACTATCACTAGCTGAGCTATCAAAAACTACATTCTTAGCCTTGGGACTAACAATAGTTTCCTTTGGGTCTACAACCGGAGGTATCACTTTTTGAATTGGCTTTATAACTGTTAGGATCGAATAACTCAAATTCTTGGTACTAAAACTTACTTGAATGATCGGTTAAACAGTAGTAGAGCAG